CCCAGACAGAGCTCACTCCAAGTCAAAGGGCAGGTCAGTGCCAGCCTTTGTAAAGGCTTCCTGCTTGGCCTCATTCCCCTCCTGCCAGGAAGCCTGAGGATGGAGGAGAGGTGCCCTGTAGGGCAGAGGGGAATGTCAGTGTCAGAAGTGAGCAATTCCCTTCTGGGAAACCCATAACCAGAGGAGACTGGGCTTTAACCCTGGACCAAACCCTGCTGCTTCAGAAGGCCCTGCTCTGCCTCCAGGGAAGTTTAAGGTGAAGAAAATTCCATGGGCGTAAAAACTTCTCTGTTGTCATGGGTTTATAAAGGGCAGACCCGGTCCTGCTAAGAGGTCTTGCCCTGCAGGTCCCCTCTCTTTAAGCAGGTCAGGATGGCCTGGAAAGACATCTGTCACTTCATTTAAAAATTCTAACCTAGGGACTGGGGATGTGGCTCAAGTGGTAGTGCACTCGCCTGGCATGAGTACAGCCCGGGTTCGATCCTCAGCACCACATACAAAGATGTTGTGTCTGCCAAACACTAAAATATAAATAAAATATTAAAACAAACAAAAAAAAGATTACAGATCAGGGCTGAGAATATAGCTTAGTCAGTAGAGTGCTTGTTTAAAAAAAAAAAATTCTAGCCTAGAGTACATATACCTAGAATACACAGAGACATATATACGTGTACATATCTGAAACTGATGCTGGAAGGGAGCTTCTGATGGGTGACGCACTGCTCTTTGTCCCAGCTGACTCTGGTTTCTCCTTGAACACTTTCAGGGGCCCAGAACTCACTGTTCGTAGGTCCACTTGTCCAGTGGTGGGAACTTCTGGATAGGCCTTTCTTTCAGTGAGCAGTTCTGTCCTGGAGCTAAAGAACAGAGCACAAATCCTGTACACAGTGCCATCTTCTTCACACTTGAGGCTGACTGCCCCGGCCCCTGCATGTCACCCCAAGGCTGTTAATCTCCAGTCCCATCCCAGTTCCTTGGGGGCTTCCCTCTCCAGCCCTGTGCTCACAGCTGTGTGCTGCTCTCCAGGTGCTGGCTGATGGTGCAGGCTGCAGGCCACTCTCACCTCCCTCATTCCAGACCTTTTCCCCTGCAAACTTGGCAGTGATTTCTCTCTGTGGATTCACAGAGCTCTTGCTGTCAACTAAAACTCCTGTGCCCTTCTCTCACACAGACACATGTGCTGCCATTACTTCCTGTACTTAGGAAGCTGATTGAGCACAAGAGCAAGCCTTCACACTAATGTCATTAAATGTCATCATTCCAGCCTGAGGGTGATTTAGGGATCTTTACTTGACCTCCCACATATCAGTTTCCTGCACGTCATTCACACATTTGGTACATACCTCATTTATGTCTCTGCTGAAGTCAGTGTAAAAAAAAAAAAATCCCAGCCATGCCCACAGACGACCTGCTGCCCCCAATCCGGTCAAGGGCAGCATTCCTTGGGTGGAGGTGTTTGCTCCACTGCACTGAGTCTAGCACCTCAGTTTCACCCTCTCTTGCTTCTCTATCCTGTTCCCAAGACCATCCTGGGACATTCAGCAGATGCCGCACTGAAAGCCAGAGACTGTGACTAGGATTCCCCAGCTTTCCAGTTTTAATGGAAACCGGTGCCATGGTTTTGAGGAGCCTGCACAGGCTGCAAGATGCCATTCCATTACTAGTGGTCCAGGGGCGGGGATGGAGCTGATCAGAGGATCCCTTTGGTGCTCACTGGTCGCTCAGCTGCCTTACATGGCTGCGTATGTTAAAGCAGCTGCTTAGACAAACTGATGGGGAGCATGTGTCAGAGTTGTCCATCAGATTTACTTTAAGGGCACAGGTTCCTAAACAAGCCAGCTGAAGTGTTGCTCTCTTGTAGGAGGCACTGGGGTAGGGGTGGAGGGAGGAGTTTACAGCTAATTAGTGTGGTCAGGCACTTGGTTGGTGACCTTTGTTCCTTAGAGGAAATTCTTTATTTTTTTTAGTATTTATTTTTTAGCTTTAGGTGGTGCTGAGGATTAAACCCAGTGCCTTGTGGATGCTAGGCGAGCACTCTACCACTGAGCCACAACCCAGCCCCTAGAGGGAATTCTTGATCTCAGCAAAGTCTATGAGAAAATGGCTGGTGGTGCTCATCGGGAGTGCTCACATCAGACCCAAAGTTCTGCCCAGCTCATGCTTGGTTCCCAGCCTCATTCCTGGCTGCTATGTACTCAGGAAATGCAATTTAATGTTCATCTTAATCTAATATGTACACATAAATCCATAAGGAACCATCCAGTGCTCTCAGTTTTGATTTGAATAAAGGAAAATATTTGTCCATGTGTAAATTTTTTTTAAAAAGTTAAAAGCATAACTCTTATGCAAATATGAATGAACAAAATTTTTATTTAATGCATTAACTAATGAAGGAACCAGTAACATGGTAAAACTGATTCAAAGGAGAATTTGAAGAATGGAAATGTGTCTATCAGCAGCTCAGGGAATAGTGAAATGAATTTGCTAATAGATACACAGCTGACTTTAAAGGTCCTATAGGATAACACAGTTGAGGTGAGCTTTTAAGTAACAAACAGTGACACATTCTCTAGATAATTAAATAATCCTTGAGTGAGCCTGTTGATCAATACCCCAATATAATTTGGAAATATATGGATTCTTTTTCTTACCTTACTCCAAGTTTCTGTTGATTTTTTTATTTATATAGTCACTACTCAGAATGGGTCAGTCTCACAGGGTGCTATGCATTGATATGACCTTTCAGGAAAGCTATTTGACAATGTGTGTTAAGAACTTAAAATTTAGCCAAATGTGATGATACATGTCTGTAATTCCACCACTCAGGAGGCTGAGGCAGAAGGTCACAAATTCAAAGCCAGCCTCAGCAACTTATTGAGGCCCAAGATAACTTAACAAGATGCTGTGTCAAAATAAAAGATGAAAAGAGTTGGGGATGTGGCTCAGTGGTTAAGCATCCACACGCACACACCTGGGGTTCAATCCATAGTTAAAAAAAAATCCCCAACTGATTTAGAACAGAATGAAGTTGAGAACTACTAGAGTAGAGAGACACCTCATCTGTTAATGGGTCCAATGTTTGAGGCCCTTTGTAAACAGCTCCAGCTCCAATTTCACCACCAAGAACTCCACACCCCTTCTAGTAGCCTGCCTGGTAAATTCCTGCTTTTTCAGCAGCTTACTCACCCTCCTTCCCTGACACACTCCAGGCACAAGTGATGCTTGTTCCTGGAGGACTTTGTCTTTGTGCCTTTAGGGTTGAACTAAGCAAGCCACCATCCCCAACACTAGGATCCCTGGTGAGAGTCCAGCCACCAGCTCTGTATCTCTGGCTCTGGTATAGTTAACACCATGGTGGTTGCCCAGGGTGTGAGCTAGTGAATGAAGTGGTGCTTCTCGATGTCTGATACCAGACTACACTGTGCTGTTCTGACTTGCAGGGTGTGCATATCATAGTGTTTCCAGAAGATGGCATCCACGGCTTCAACTTCACAAGAACGTCCATTTACCCATATTTGGACTTCATGCCATCTCCCCAGCTGGTCAAATGGAACCCATGCCTGGAGCCCCACCGTTTCAATGACACAGAGGTACTTGAAGGCCTTAGTCTTCCTCTTCAGCAGGCCAAGGGTGTTGTGGGGCAGGTCGCTCAGAAAACACACCAAGTCCCAAATTTGTCCAAATTGAAGAGTCTTTATTTAGCTGGCCAGCCAGCGACTGCTTCCCACAAGACCCATAACTGTCTCTGCAAGGAACAGCCCTGAGCCTGAGCATTTTAGGATATTTTAAAAACACATCCAGGTTGATGTAGCTGCAAGCAAGCAGGTACAGAAGCTGAATTGGGCAGTTAGCGAGACAATGCCATGGGCATATTGGTTTTTCCCAAGGGACTTTCCAGGTTGGCATAGCAGCAAGCAAGCAGAAGGGAAGTGGGTCAAAATGACCCTAGTTCAGTACAAGTTAGAGAATGGTTACTGAAGTCTAGACAATCTCTGACAAGGTACATTGCCCAAGAAAAATGGAAACCAAAGAGAACAATTTTCCATTGTATAAGAAGTGCTATTTTGTGTTGCCAAGTATGCTATGTTAGGTAACTATTAATGGGTACAGAGGCAGGGCTTTCCCATGGGAGAAGCATTTCTTAAGTGATATGGAGTCTCCGGGTAAAATGGAGTCTGTTTGGTCATTGCCCATATAGCCTGGCCCATAACAGAGGGCATGCCAAGGTGAACCAAGTGATGAAAGCCACAGCATGCTGAGATATAAAGGAGACCCAAGGACCCCAAAAACCAAACCCAAACTCCATGTGCTATACATTCAGTTAAAGACTGTCTAGAGCTGGGTGTGGTGGCACTTGTCTGTAATCCTAGCAACTTGGGAGACTGAGGCTGGAGGACTGCAAGTTCTTGAAGCCAGCGCTGGCAACATAAGGAGTCGCTGTCTCTAAATAAATAAAAAGGGCTGAGGGTGTGGCTTGTTGGTCAAGCGCCCTGGGTTAAGTCCCTAGTGTAAAGCAGAAAGGGGCGCGTGAGATCAGGAACCATGGAACCAGAATGAGGCACCAAAAGAAGGTTTATTGGGGGGCGCTCCCGGGAGAGGTTCACCAATCCACGAAAGGGTGAGGGCCCGGGAAGCCACAGGCAGGGAAAGGCAAGAACAGTGCTAATAAGGGAACTGGAGAGGGAGGGCCCAGGCCATCTAAACTGCAACTACGACAGCAGGTTGGCCAGCCGAGTTTAGGGGGATCTTGTTGGTCGCAGGTTGGTCAGGGCTGGTTGGGTTGACAGGGCGATTGCTTCTGCCTGCGAGAACCGTGTTGGTTGGGGTCCGTTGCCATGTCAGCTTCTGATTGGCCATTTTGGGTCAGCCAGGTGGAAAGTCCCGCTCCCCAGCTGCCAAGAAAGGAGAGGGGTCAGGGAAACCTGCCTACCTAACACCTAGTACTGCAAAGGGAAAAAGAAAATCTACTGTTGTAAGGCATTTACTCTATGGATATTTAATTTATTAATTACACAAGAAATATATGAATATAAACTTAAACATGCCAAACAGAAGTTAAAAAAAGAAAAAAAAAAAGTAAAAGTTCACCTTCACCACAGCCCATTCTCATCCTACTTCCTTTCATAGAGAAACATCCATTTGCTATGTATCCAACTATACCCTTTTCTATGCATTTTATATTTATTGACATCCTTTTTTAGCATGGTATATGCTCATTATTTTCTTAAAACTCTTGATATCAAGAGCAACATTCAATGAATATCCTTGTACATATATATTCAGAAACATGTCCAAGTGCTTCTGTAAGGTGAAATTCTTGGAAATGGGATTTCTCAAAGGCTGTGCACATTTTACATTATTTTAAAGAGTAACAAACTTCTTCCTCAAGAGATTTTTATTTCACTTTCTATCTCCAATAATAGTCATTAAGGCCTATTTTCTCACCTTTTGGTCAGTGCAAGATAGAATAACCTTTAGAATTTTTGCCAATCTAATGAAGGTGAAAAATAATATCTCATTGTTATTTTAATTTGCATTTCCCTATAACTCATGTGGTTCAGCTTCTTTTCAGATATTTCTTGGCCATTTGTTTTGTTCTTCCTGAGTCACCTGTTCATCTCCTTTGCATGTTTTCAGTGGTGATTTTTTTTCTTATTGACTTATGAGAGCTCTTTGTATATTGTGAATGCAGTGAGGAATTTTTCTATTAAAAATATGAGACAAAAGGCAGAATATTTAAAATCCACATATTTATGCTTTTTTCTCCCCCCTCCCCCAGGTCCTCCAGCGCTTGAGTTGCATGGCCACCAAGGGAGATATGTTCTTAGTGGCCAACCTTGGGACAAAACAGCCATGTCATAGCAATGACCCAGGGTGCCCAAACGATGGAAGATACCAGTTTAACACAAATGTCATTTTCAGCAATAATGGAACCCTTGTTGACCGGTACCGAAAACACAACCTCTACTTCGAGGCAGCTTTTGATACCCCTCTTGAAGTGGATCGCATCACTTTCGATACCCCCTTTGCTGGCAGGTTTGGCATCTTCACCTGCTTTGACATACTGTTCTTCGACCCTGCCGTCAGACTGCTGAGAGACCCCGAGGTGAAGCACGTGGTGTACCCGAGCGCCTGGATGAACCAGCTCCCGCTCCTGGCGGCCATCGAGATTCAGAAAGCCTTTGCCATTGCCTTTGGTGTCAATGTCCTGGCGGCCAACATCCACCACCCATCTCTGGGGATGACAGGGAGTGGCATACACACCCCTCTGAAGTCCTTCTGGTACCATGACATGGAAAGCCCCGAAGGTCACCTTATCATTGCCCAGGTAGCCAAAAATCCAGTGGGTCTTGCTGGAACGGAGAATGCAACAGGTAAAACAGACCCTTCCCACAGTAGGTTTTTAAAAATCGTGTCAGGTGAGCCATACTGTGAGAAGGATGCTCAGGAAGTCCACTGCGAAGCCGCCAAGTGGAACATGGATGCTCCTCCCACCTTTCACTCTGAGATGATGTATGACAACTTCACCCTGGTCCCCGTCTGGGGAAAGGAAGGCTATCTCCAAGTCTGCTCCAACAGCCTCTGCTGCCATTTGCTGTATGACAGGCCCACCCTGTCCCAAGAGCTCTATGCCCTGGGGGTCTTTGATGGCTTCCACACTGTGCACGGCACTTACTACATCCAAGTGTGCGCCCTGGTCAAGTGTGGGGGTCTTGACATCCACACCTGTGGGCAGGAGATCACAGAGGCCACGGGGATGTTCGAGTTTCACCTGTGGGGCAACTTCAGCACTTCTTATATCTTTCCTCTCTTTCTGACCTCAGGGATGACCCCAGAATCCCCTGACCAGCTTGGCTGGGAGAATGACCACTATTTCCTGAGGAAGCGTGGACTGTCCTCTGGTCTGGTGACAGCAGCTCTTTATGGGCGGTTGTATGAGAAGAACTAGGACAAGTGTGTGATTTGTGAGTGGGCCCTGGCTGTCACATGGCAGCCCCGCCCCTCCACAAGCCAGAGCATGTACACAGGATCACCTCCCCCTGGGGGTGGCCGCCCACTTCTAGAGCACCAGATCCCACCTGGGAACTGTGGGAAGAGGTGGGAGAGGCAGGTTCCCTCTTCCTCCTACATGTCAGTGCTTGAGATGTTTTCTGGTATTTTCTATTAATATTTGTCTTTTCAAGCCACATCTTCCTCTAGCACATCTCTCAGTACACAGTTGGTTTTAAGATCTGAAACAAAAATAAATGTCAGTTGATATTTTACACACCCACAAAGCAGTGGTTCATTTTTTTCCTTGTTAATCAGGTGACACCCCGATGTGTAAATATTTTACAAGCCTTGCCTGTTCTCTAAAGTAAGAAACAAACTCTCAAGAGCAAAAGAGAACTGCTGTGAGGACCTTTCCTGTTCTGGTCAGCTGAACTCCATCCAGATGAAGTGGATTAATCCTGTAATCCTGAATTAATTCTTAATCCAAGTATTTGGCTTATGTCTGTACTCTTCATGACCATGGGCAGATTTTTTTAAATGAACTTATCCTCGTTAATCATCAACAGGTAGAAAACAATAACAAGCGTAAGGAAATCTAGATGGCGTTCCTCTATGTCTTGCTTTGTGCATAAGCTCTGACAAGTTGATCTTACTGTGGGCACTTTTGTATATACATGGTGTTATAAGTACTTGGGAGACCTGTCTCTCACCTACCTTCCTTTCACCTAATTTATAGAGAAAGGCTGAAGCTCAAGGGATCTAGGTTTCTTAGAAATGAAAAAGTATGGGCAGTGATTAATACTTGAATTTTAAAATGATTAAAATTGATGCTTTGCAGTGCTCTTTTTAAAACTTTTTATTTAGTTTGATACTTTAGACTACTAACAGTAAACTAGAGCTATAGGCAGCCTTAAAACTTGGTTGGAAGTTTTGTTGGAAAATCATTTTACAGATGGAAAGGGATCTTAGCAACAACCCATGCCATCATCTGTTAATTCCACCACTTTCCTTTTCTTGAGTTTTTTTCCCACTGACTCTCCACAGGCTCTCTCAAATAAAAAGTCAATCATATCCCAGTGCTCAGGAAGTTGAGGCAGGAGGATCAGAGTTCAAAGCCAGCCTCAGAAAAAGCAAGGCACTAAGCAACTCAGCAAGACCCTGTCTCTAAATAAAATATTAAAGAAAAGGGGCTCAGGGTGTGGCTCAGTGATTAAATACCCCTGCGTTCCATCCCTGGGACCAAAAAAAAAAAAAAATTCGTGAAACCTTCAGTTGGAATTAGTGGGTTTTTTTTTTTCAATTTTAATGTTGCTTTATTTTATATGCTTTAATTCATTGTTACTCCAACAATTAGCCAGGAGAGGGTGAATAAGAACTTTTGATTTACTATGTATTCCTTGTTAAATTCCTGTTTGGAATATTTTGATTTGATTACAGTAGTTTGTGTTTGCTTGATAATTCCTTTTATTAAACGTTTGAGGCTTGAAAGTGTTGTGGGTTTTCAGGAAGCTCTGTCTCTGTTAGTTTAAACATTGCATTTAATTCATCAAATACATATGAGGGCTTTGAGGAGTGTAAGACAATGTGCTAGATGTGAGGGTGTACACATGGACCCCACCCTCAAGACATCTTTCAGATCTTGAAACCGTTGGTTGATACAATAATGGTTTCACTGGAGAATTGAAATCTAAGTCCAGCAGTTCATGTTTCTATCAGCATGCTGTAAAAGATGATGAGAAATAAATAGAATTCAGTTTAGGAGAGATTACATAGTACCATTCTTTTTATAGAGAAATCAAGGACCAAAGAGGTGACATAGTACACCCAATAATTGTGACTATGCAGAAACATAAGGCTATGATTACCAACTTGAGACAAAAGTCTGAAACAGTGTAGTAGAAATCTTAAAGTTCAAGGATTTATTTGAAGGGAAGATAGGAAAAGTAACTGTTCAGGGGGCGTAGTTTTAAAATACGCTTGCCATCAGTTTTTATCATATGCTAGCCACTATACAGTGTGGTAAACCAATATTAAGTCACCAACAACAGAATAAAGTAGAGTTTATGCTCATTCAACAAGTAATTGCATGTGAAATTTATTGAGCCCTTTTAAATGTCAGGTTAAGTATTTTCAGTATCTCATTTGTGCTTCTTAAGAAAGTCATTATCACTCCACCTACTGATGGGAAAATTGAGATTTAGAAAGTTATGTAATTTCACCAATGTCTTTTACCTACTAAATAAAGCGTGAGAATTTAGACTGGGTTGGCTTGACTCCATAGCCTCTGTCCTCATACCCTGGCTTATGATTTCACTAGGAAACATTAGGAAACACAAAAAACCATAAGCCACCCTCTAACATCATGTACCCAAGCTTTGTACTTTTCACTTGAAACACTGGAACCTAAATGTGGACCATAACAGTACAGATTTTAATAACTATGACAGCACTGATTTTAGTATTAGGATATGAGATGCTGAAATTGAACTAAAGTAGAATAAATGATCCACTAGGGGATTTAATCCTTTGAATAGTTTGAGCACTAAAAACAAAGACTTTGCCGAGTATATCATCAAGTTATCTGTATTATGTAAGAACCTGCCAATATACAACATCTTTGAGTATTTATGCCTGAGGAAAATAATTAATATGTGCCAGGCATTGTCCAAGTTGCTCAACATCTCTACCCTTAGTACATGAATTCACTTTAATAGAGCCCTGCTTGTTCCAAGTGCCTATACTGTACCATGTATGGTACGGTGATCCAAGTCACTGCTGTATGACTGGAAAGAACAGAGTATTAAACCAATGAGGGGCATCACTGTCTGGGAGAAAGAAGCAGGTGCTGCTTGGATGACATCTGATCTGGAACTTCATTCAGAAGATAATGAGGGAGGAAAAAAAGTCAATATGTGCAAAGGTAGAAAGGTATGAAAGTATGGGTCTTGTTCAGGGAGAAATAAACATGCACCTATGTGTCTAGGTCATAAGGTGAATAAGGCCAAGAAAGGCAGAGTGGGTCTAGATTATGCATGACTTTCTATGTCTTGCTAAGGCTATTTTGAGTTTGTAGAATCACCCAAGTTTGTATTATCATTTTATTTGGATATGCTCAGACATATACAAAAGCAGACAAGATGATGAACCTCCATGTACCTAACACCCACCTTCAACAATTATTGTGGTCAACCCTATCCATCACCCTTACTCTGCTCCATCATACTTTGAAACAAATCCCTACACTATCTGATTTTATCCACAAATATTTTCCTATGTATCTCATTTTAAAATATATTTCATCAAAAGTCTGTATCCAAGGGCTGGGGTTGTGGCTCAGTGGTAGAGCGCTTGCCCAGCATGTGTGAGGTACTGAGTTTGATTCTCAGCACTGCATATAAATAAATAAAAGTCCATTGACAAATAAAACAAAAATTTTAAAAGTCTGTATACAGATGATGTTTGAATTTCCAGTGTCTTCACAAACTGTCCTACTTTTAAAATTGTAATAGTCCACACATTGAAATTGGCATTTCTCGGGCCTGGGGTTGTGGCTCAGCAATAGAGTGCTCGCCTAGAATGTGCGAGGCCCTAAGTTCTATCCTCAGCACCACATAAAAATAAAGATATTGTGTCTATCTACAACTAAAAAAAAATTTAATTTAAAAAGAAATTGGCATTTCTCTTAAATCTCTTAATTGGGGTTCTTCATATTATACTCTTTTTTTCTTCCCCTTTGTAATTTATTTGTTGAAGACAATGGTTGTTTTCCTTATAGAGTTTTCCACAGCTTGAATTTTGCTAGCGCATCCTACCTACATCATTTAATATGTTCTCCCTTTCTTTCTTTCTTTCTTTATTTATTTTTGGTACCAGGGATTGCACTCAGGGGCGCTCAACTCCTGAGCCACATCCCCAGCCCTATTTTGTATTTTATTTAGAGACAGGGTCTCACTGAGTTGCTTGGTGCCTGGCTGTTGCTGAGGCTGGCTTTGAACTCGCAGTCCTCCTAACTCAGCCTCCCTCACTGCTGGGATTACAGTGTGCCCGGCTGTATTCCCCTTTTAAGTGTATTTCTTGTATTGAATCTAGAGGCTTGATGGATTCAGCTTCACTTTTTTATAAGAAAAACTATTTCATGGGTGATTCCTGGTGTGTTTTTTCAGGAGGCTCACAATGCTCTGTATAGTGTAGTTTAAAACTTCCTATAACCAAGCACCTTGGGCAAGTTATGTTACGTTTGAGGACTTCAATGTCTTTTTTTAAAAAAAAATGGATATAGCAGTGCCTACTATGTTCACAGACTGTATTGAGAACAAGATATTGCAAATAAAAAAGGTGAGCACAGTGCCAATCACAGTGTGACCCAGCACTGTCTACAACACAGTCCCTGCCCACGTAAGCAGGCAGCCAGAAAATCCTCTCCCACCTGGAGTAGAAGAGTCTAATCATGTTCAGAAAGAGCAGAGACTTTCAGAAAACACATCTTCAACAATCCTTGCGCAATAAGTAAGCCTAATCCCCACAGCCCTGTGGGACACAATGGTAGAAAAATAGGGTACCAAAGCGGAGACTTAGGCTGTCCAGTTGGCCTCTGTAGCCGCAGAGCCTAAAGCACCTGATACTCGGCACTAAGTGACTGAGAGACTAACAAGGAGGCCTTAGGCCCCTATTACCATCTAGCGGTGCTGGGTTCGTTGCCTCGTTCAGCAAATTGAAGAACAGGATACAGAAATAGCAAGCAAGAGTGGGTTTACTGCAAAAGTGAAAGAGATACAAAGATAGACTTCTTGGAACAGAAAGGACCCCAGAGCTGGAAATCCAGTGGGGAAGTTTTGGCCTGTTCTTTTTATGGTCTTTTATGGTCTCTAGAATTTCCTCCTTTCCTTAGCTCCTCCCACTTTGCCCACCATTACTGATTGATGCCCCCTCAGTCCACGAGTTTTTAATTTTTCTATTGGATTCCCATGCTTAGGAGCATGCATTTGGAAGTGTCTGGCTTGCGCCCACAAACACTTTTATCAATAAGCAAGAAGTTGACCTCATCAGAAGACCCTCTCCATGCTCATTTGTTCTGCCCCCCCACACACACCTGCCCTGCCCTGGATGCCTAAGCCCTTCCAGCTCTCCCTCATTCTGAAATTCCAAAGCAAGACACTTGTCCCAAGGCCAGCTTCTCCAAGATCCTCAGGCTCTTCCATCCATAATGCACCTACCACATTAACACAAGCTCCCAACTCAGACTGCCATCTGGACTTCCTTCTGTTCCTCAATCACCAGGAAATCC